TCCATGGAAAAAAAAACCAAAACATAAAATATAAAAGTTGAAATACTAAGGAATAACGAGAAGGCTGCAGAGCTGGGAGTGGGGAGGCTGGAGCTGTCACCTGGGTGTTGAGGCTGATGGAAAATCAGCCTCACTCCAAATTCCAGGCTGAGAGCAGTGAGTCTCTGCCAGCTCTGCTGCAGCTGCACTTCCAGTGGGGGCCAGGAGCTTCTCCTGATGGGAACTCCCAGCCCCATGCTGCTTGCCTTTCCTGCTGTGGCTGACTTTGGGGCTGAGGGGTGCTCAGAGGCCCATCCATCACTGTCCCTGCTGCTTTGCCCCTACCATCACACTCAGAGCCTGGCAGGATTTACACAATCCTCCAAAAACAGAGCACACCCAAAATGCAGCTGATGGCAACAGCAGCTCTGCTCTGTCCCCAATCACCATGGGGTTGTGGCCCCAGAAAAAGGGGAATAATGTCCTGATGGCCCCTGAAACAGGAGCCAGAGATGGACGGAACAGCCAAATAAAAACCATGACAGAGTTAACTCAGCCCTCCAGCACCCTGAAAGCAGCACAAGCAAAGCTGCCCTAATTACTGCAGGGATTCAAAGAAATTGGTTATAGAAGGTGAAGTAAGAGAAACAGATGCCAGGGCAGCCTCCTGGGGAAGGGAATCTGATTTCCTCTGCTTTGGTGGTTCCTGTGCTGGCACCTCCCTGCAGACAAACAAGGCTCTCCAAATGCTGGAGTCTCCTCTGCATCCCTGCAGGATGCTTCAAATTGTTTTTTTTTTCCTCTCTCCCACATGGACAAATGTAGGAGATTACAACTCTTGAGAGAGGCTGCAAGTTCTCAAGGCTGAGAACTTGCTGTTTGAGGGGAAGCAGCAGCTCCTTACGTAGGTGGAAATTCCTCAGGAAACCCAGTCCTAAGGAGATTCTCTTAAATTTGGCTTTTCCAAGTTGTCTGGGCTTTCCTAACAGGATGGAGATAGGGCAAAGACGTCAAGCAATATGGAAAATTATCCACTCCGAAGAATAGCCTTCGGCTAAAAATTGACCTCCTCATCCAGACCTTGCTTGTACTGCTTAGAAGTGAGTCCAATTTTTGGAGCTATTTGGGCTCCTGGCAAGCAAAGTGAAGTCCAGCTGGGAAAAAAGGCAGTCAAATCCTATCTTGTGAAGGAAATGAAGAAGGATTTAAAATCTTGGAGAATCACTGCTAGAGATTCTTGGGAAGAAACATGAAAGGTTCCCCCCTGTTCAGAGCCATCAAATTCATGCCCAGTTAAGTCCAAGGAATTATGAGCTGCATGGAAAAGTTGGTTCAGCCAGGCTATAGGGATCTGGGATCTGAATCAGCCACTCCTCCCTCTGAAGCTTTCAACACAAGTCTTGCAGCCTTTGGAAAGAGGTGCTGGTCCTAAAGGGAATGTCTGCTCGGGACATCCAGGGGCCCACCCACGTTTGTACCCTCACTTCTGTGCAGTTCCTGGCACTGTGCAATCAGATCTTTACGTGGAACATCCACTCCTTTATTTATGGCAGCTCTGTCATGGCAAGCAGGGATGGGGAGCTTTGGTCTGGCAAAGCCTCAGGATGCAGTTCTCCCTGTGTCCTCCTACTCTGCTGTTGGGGTGAGGGTTGCACTGACTGTGGGATTTGGGGATTTGGACACTCCAGAATGTCTGGGTCTGTGTCAGGCCTGGTTTTTGTGAGGGGGTCAGTGTTTCTCAGGTGTGTCCTGACTGGTTTTTGTGGGGTCAGTGTTTCTCAGGTGTGTCCTGACTGGTTTTTGTGGGGTCAGTGTTTCTGAGCCTGTGTCCTACCTGGTTTTTGGGGGTCATTGTTTCTGAGCCTGCTCCAGTGGTGGAATTACTGCAATTCCAGACAACAGCAAGGAAAAAATGAAATCTCTGAGCTTGAGGTACCCAGAATCTAGGGCTCAGAGCTCAGGCTGCTGCTCTTCACCCCATAAGTGGCCATGTTCTTGTGCTATGTGGCTTTTTTAGGGAGCTTTGGGATAAAAGAGATCATCTATAAACTAGACCTTACTGAGAGTCTTACTGAGGAGTCATTCTCAGCACTGCTTATCTTCTGAGAAACATAAAACTGGTGAATGCTGTGAGTAAACACATCTATTTTTGTAGTTTGTCTTCCAAGTCAAACAAAAATAAGAGATGACTCGAAGCTGAGCCCTACATGACACAGTGGTAACTGAGAAGTGACAAACTCAGAGCCTGACTCCGGGCTGGAAGTCAGACTGGCATTTCTGGGGTCAGGGAGTTGAAGTTGGTGCCCTGCAGCTGAGCAGAAACTAAGTGTGGCACAGTGGGTGAGCTGTTCCTGGTCATTCTGGGGGAAAATCTGGTGATGTTGGTATTTCTGTTCCTCTTCAGCATCCTCTGAGTCAGATTTGGGCTGGTAAGAGCTGAGCAAGGTCTGGCCTTCCAGCCCAAGCCCTGTCCAGTGGGATTCCTGTCTCTTTGGGTGATTTCTCACCCCTGCTGGGGCTGCACAAGCTTTCCCTGAAGTTCCAGGGGAAGTTTTCACCCTCCTCACCCCCCCAAAGCTGCTCTGCTTCCTTTCCAAATGGGGAATTTCCAAACTGCCATATATAGACCCCCCTCCAAAAAAACCTGCCATGTGGAGCTCAAACAAGACTGTGTTCCCAAAAGCCTGCTTGTTCCAGCTGCAAGAATTTGTCTCAGAGAAGAGGATGTTGCATCTCTTCAGAAATTTGGGATTGTTTACATCCCTGGAATGTCCCAGCAGCTGCAGCAAAAAAACCCCAAGCACTGAGGGCTCTACAAAAACTTGAGCCTCAGCAATATCACAATCAAAACGTGGTTGATTGACTGTTGGTGGTTTCATCTGGGCTTTGTCCTACAATTATTCATTGTTCCTGTTCTGTAGCTTGTCATGGCGAGAAGGGGATCACCCTGAGGGAACTTTGGCCAAATCCACAGCAGGTGGAGAATGGGAGCTCAGAAGTGATGGGGAGCTGAGACTGAGCTGAGATTTAATCAGCAGCAAAGCTGGAGTGACACCTCTGGCTTCAGATGCAGGATGCCTCCAGGAAAGAATCAGCACGAGCACAGGCACTGGGCTTACTGGAAACAGGACTTGCCAATTCCTGTAAAGTTTAAAAATAAACCCAAACCCTGTAAGATCTAATTATTTTCCAGGCTGCTTTTTCCTGCTTGCATCTATCCCAGCAGGACTTAGAGGGAGATAAAGGCTCCCTCCAGGCTTCAGGGTGTGAATGGCATCCACAGGGATAAACTGGCAAAAAAACAGGGAATTATTCTAAAATGAGCAACACTTCCTTGGGAAGTGAGTAATAGAAGGAAATCATCTCCTTGGATCCAGCAGCCCTAATCAAGGGGTTCTGAATGGGTCTGGAGATGGGGCAGGAGGAGGATGGGATGGAATATGATGGGAGCAGGTGGATGTCTGGGTTAGCTGATGAAAACCAAATGGATTTGCAGTGGGGCAAAGAAAAATGTGAGAAAATGGGCTGAGAAAATGGGCTAGAAATGCTCTGGGTCTGGCTGACAGGGCTCTCAGAGGCACATTCCAAGCCTTTGGCTAGGGCATGTGGGAACAAGGAGATGATTTCCTTCCACTGCTTCCATTCTCTGCCTCCTCCAGCCCATCCCTCCCATGTCCCAGCTTCAGAATCCAGCCAGTGGGAGAACAGCAAGAACAGAAACACCAACAGAGAACCAGGATAAGATTGGGAAAGTCCTGAACTCAGCAGTGGTTTGAAAAACCTTTTGCCTTCTTGGCTGCCCTAACGGTCAATCCATGAGAACTGAGTGGGAATCTGTGCAGCAGGAATGGATGGATTTCTCAGGATGGGGGTTTAGACTGTGGGATTTGCTTTGCTGTGTAATTTCTCCCTGGAAGCTCCTTTGCCACCTGAGCCTGCAGCTTCCCTGCCTCAGGATGCAGATGCCACCTGGGAGGGGATCTCAGAGTGAGAACAGGGCTATCCCATTCCCTTAAAACCTGGGATAATCCTGATTCCAGCCTGTATGGAGCACTGGGTGAGGCTGTCACCTCCACAGGACTGAGTGCTGGAGCATCCTGGTGCTGTCAGCTCCCTTGGGATGCAGATGGGCCCTAAACTGGGAGGGGAACACAAACAAGTGCTCTCAACAGTCTGACTCTGTGGATTTTTAATTGGATCTTCAGCCTGATTTTCCATTTGGTGGATGAGTTTGGATACAACTTTTTTCCACTCTGAGCACTCCTTGGCCCCTAACTCCTAGTGAGTTTTTTTACAGTTCCCAGGGGAGAGGAAATAAAATTGGAGGAAATAATGCTCACCAGTGTCTGAAATCCCCAAAGCTTCCTTTCTTAGCTGCTTTTCAGCCTGGCCTGCTGGTCCCTCCCCATGTTAAGGAGATGAAGATTGATGGATCTCTTTATAACTGGATGTAATTTTCCAGTTTTTCCCTCTGCTGGTAACATCTTGGACCTGTCCAGAGGCAGCACATAGCAAAACTTACAGTGGAAAGGGAATTATTGTCACATCACCTGATGAGTGGGAGCCAAATGCAAAGTGAGGAGAGCAGGACAGCCCTGGGAAAGGGAATTGGGGTTGATTTCTTGATATTCTAGTAGAAATTCCCTGCACACAGCAGCACAGAGAGGCTGGACCTCAGCATCTTTGGTGTCTGCTCCCCTCCCCTCATCTAGTGAGGGATTTATCACAGGTTTCTCTTCTTTGCCTCGGGATCCCAGACTTGAACCCATATTTAACACCACGTCAAGAGATGATCCCTGGGCTGCTTCTGTGCCAGCTGCAATTCCCAATATTTCTCCCTGGCCTTTCCCACCTGGGCAGCAGCTCCTTCCTGCAAGCTGTGCATGTCTTGGTGGCCCCAGTAGCCCTTCCCCAGGGGACACAGGCTCTGAGTGTGCCCCAGCCTGTGGGAGGGACCCTCTGGCAGCACTAGGACCTGTGCAATGCTCCTCCCAGAAGATTAGCCAATATTCCCAGGGCAGGGCAGCTCCCCAGCCTTTTCTACTCTTTCTTTCCCTTTTAATCGTGTTTTTCCTTCTTCTGGCTTATTCCAGAGAGGAGAGCTTTGGATTTCTTGCAGCTTTTCTTTCATTTTTTTTTCCCCCCTCTGGTAACTGGCCTGCTGCCAGTGCCTTGCAGGGCCAAAGTTTTATCTGTAGGGATATATTTTTCAAACCAAGTCCAGCTGCACACAGACTGAATCCCCGCTCCTGGGGCAAGCTTCACTCGGAGGAGGAAGAGCAGCAGGAGCGTTGTGTGTGCCTCTCCTCCAGCTATTCCTGTCAAGATGTATTTATGGCTTTAAAAGGAGTCGTGGGGGAGGAAGGAAAATTGCCTCCAGGAGCCAGAGCTCGCACCACAGCCTAGCAAAACACACGTCGAGGAGCAGAGAGCTCAAGGCATGGGAGTGAGATTGCGCTGGGATCTGGTGGATCCGGACTATGACTGATCTCAGGCTTTTGGTCTGCCTTCACAGAGCCCAGGTGGTGGATTTAAGGTAATTTGGCCAGGACCAGGCTCTGCTATGTTGGCCAAGGCGCTGCTTTCCCTTGGTCTGTGGCTTCGGTTTGCTGCGGGACAGGATACACCTGAGCCAGGTGAGTGCCCAAAAAGGCAAAGGCTTTCCTGTGGCGCTCTACCCCATTTCATGCCTCCTGCTCTCCTCACAAACCCTTTTCAGAATAAAAGCTGAGGCTACAGTGCTGCTTTAGGTGTTTGGATGTACTTGTGTACAAACAAACCTGTCTGCAATTGCTGCTTAGGAAGTAATTTTGTGCGTTTGTTTCCAGTGGGGAAGAGGAAATTGTTCCAGAAATTTGCAGAGTTAAGAGTAATCATATGGAAAAGTCCTCGCTCCTCACTGTAGACTGAAGGACAGGCATTGAGAGAAGTCAAGCCAGTGATTAGCAGTGTTCTCTTGCTGATCCCTGTAATTCAATCATTACGGCTCTACTTTAAAATGCTTTCTCTTGGATACTGCTGATGGAAAATGATAATGGTTCAGTCCTGCAGAGCTGACAGTGGGGAAATGGATGTGCAGGAGATGGATGTCTTGTTCCTGGACTCTGGACAGGGACTCATCCCACATCGTGGTGGCTGAGCTGCTGCAATTCATTTTGTGCTGCCCTGTGCTCATGAGTGGAGAAAGTTCTGTGGCTGCAGGGATAGTTGTGATTGGTTTTCACTGCACCTGGGAGCTGCAATCCGGTGGGAAATGAGAGGGAATCTTGTGCCTGCCTGGCCAGGAGCCCCTCAGACAGAGCAGCCTGGACTGCTGGGGTCTGACTGTGCTGCTGGTACACAGAGGCACACAGAGAGGCTGGGGCTGGGGCTCAGATCCCTCCCAGGGTGCTGGGTTCTGTCCCTCAGTGTCCCAGCTGGGGCAGGAATGGTGCTGCAGCTCCTGGCATTGTCCCAGAGCTCCAAGTCCAGCCAGGCAGCAGCAATTCCCATTGTCCTGACATCCTGCTGCCCTGGGAGCGTGTGGCATTTTCCAACACAGGCTCTGAACAATGCTCAGACCTTCAGGGTGTGTGACAAAGCCAGCCATGGCATTCCAGAAGGACTGTGCCCCACTACAGAGGCAAAGTGTGTGTGTGTGTGTTAGTGATGAGCTGGGTGAGTGATGTGCTGCCTTTTGCCTCTCCCTCGAGAGGGAACGACCCCTCTGGGCAGGAGATGCCCATCCCAGCCTGGTACAACTCCTGTGCCTTGTCCAGGGTTGCTGTGATGCTGTGCCATGGTCACAGGGACAGGAACACTTTGGGATGTGTGTCCAGAACCTCTTTTTGAGGTTCCCAAAATTCAGTCTTGAATCTCTTGGGATTTGACTGAATGTGAGTGACCATGGCTTCGTTCTCAGCTGCAGTGGGCAAAGTGAGGAAGCTGCTGGGTGGCCATTGGTGTTTCCACATGCTCAGAAATGACAGGATTGTTCTGGACAATGGGTACTGGATTGTTCTGGACAATGGATTTTGGATTCCTGCACAAAGTCAAGGCAGACCGTGACCAATTCCCCCCTTCCCTCTCTGGGTCCAGATTCAGATCTCGGCTGCAGCTGTGTAAAGTACAGCCTTTTGATGTTTTGGGCTTGGAGAAATGGAATTTGATTGTCATTTCCTGGGCTGGCATCAGCAGAAAAGGATGTTGCTGTTGTGAGTGAAAAATGAAGACATGGCCCCTTCATACACATTTTGTGGGAGACCCTGCACTTACTGACCTCTGAAGCACTGGCATAGTTCCATGATCCCAGAACTGTTGATAAAACAGCAGAGAGAGTAAAACTCATTGAAAGATCATGAGAGATGGCAGCACAGCTCCCCTCCTGCTGTTGAAGGCACCTGGAACCTCTAAAGGCTTTTAACCACACAAGTATTTTGTGCTTGGTGGCTGTCAGCCCTTCATCATGCAGGTGACCTCCCCATCTCCCATGGGTTCTCTGATGTGGTTTGAACTGTAAAACCCCTCCTGGGTGGCTTGTGGGGAGAATTCTCTGCCAGGGAGAGGTGGTGCCTTCCTCTTCCTGCCTCTCACTGTGATCCAGAGGGGGCACAGGGAAGCTCAGCCTGTGTTCCTCGGTTCCCTCTGCCTCCCTCTCAGAGCAGAACCTTTTTCCTTGCGTGGTCAAGCACTTCTTGAGAGAAGACAAACATAGGATGTCAAAAGCCGTTAACCCAGACAGGACATGATCCTTCTTGGCTGTAACTGAGCCCCACAAGCTCCAAGCCTGTGTAAATCAGGCATGTGGTGTGTGTTCAGCTCCCAGATGAGAGCATGGGGAGCTCTGCGAGCGGATGTCTCCTGTCAGCATCACAGGGAAGTCTGGCCAGCTGTTTTCCTCCCGGAAAAGCCAGCAGGCAGCGTTGTGTTTCCATAGTGACATTTTGCTCCCATATCAAGCCCTTCAAAACACTTCTGAGCCCAGTGCATTGGCTGGGCATCACGTAGGGAGTGGCACCAGGACCCTGCTGTGTGTTCTGTGTCACTCCTAGGCTCAAGCAGGGCACAGGGATGAGATCTGCAGTTATTCCTGACAGTTCAGGAGTCAGGGAAGTGCTCATGGATGCCCCTTTCCCTCCAAATCCTCCCTGAAAAGTGAGAAATCCTCACTTGGCAACTTGCCAAGCTGTCTGAAGTGAGGAGAGTGCCTGAAAACAGCAGCTGTTTGCGTAAGCAGGGATTTGCTGGTAACAAACCTCCACAGCCCCACCTCTGGCATGGATGGCATGTTTGTACTGGATTCAGGACAAGGAGCAGGAGGATGGATGAGGGAATTGAAAGCCTAAACCTGCAGGGAGGGGGAGATGCAGTGTCTGGTCACTTTCTGAGCATTGCCGTGCTCCTGATGGGGACAGAGCTTGTGTCTCGATTTTTTTTAATGGATTCTTTCTGCTGAATAGGAGGAATTTGTGCCCATCTCATGCAGGACAGAGTGTTACAGCTGGGATGGTGTTTGAGTGAAGGAGAAGCCTTCTGCCTGACCCACAGAGAGTCTCTTTAGCTCCAAAACACACCCCTAACCCACCCACCAGTGGGTTTAGCTGCTGGTTTTGTTAACCGGTTGTTAACCAAGGCAGAACCCTGTGGTGTCAGACTGGGGTTCTTCCTAATTAACATAGCAGTGAGTGACAGGGAAAACCAGCGTTTAAGGCATGGGAACGTGATGCCCAGCTCTCTTGATGCCCCAGAGCTGCAGGGTGCAGACAAAAGGCTGTGACTCCCCAGACCCTAGTTCTTTTGGGGTTTCACACAAAAGGACACGGCTGTGACTCTCCTCTGTTCCCTGGTGTTTCATACTGGTGCTCACCTGCATGTTCCCCATGCAGGTAGCTCTGGCAGCAGTGGGATTTCTGCACCCTCTGGGTGAATTCCCAGTTCCCCTCCCAGTGCTTGTGCACATGACCCTGTTGTTTACTGGAGCAGGAAGGTCCTTTGGCCATTGATCCCTGCCTGCCAGGGCCAGACACTTTTCCAGCTGCTTGGTGCAACATTTGGGAAGCGAAGGACACTTCTCAAACTGGTGAGAAGCAGAGGGGAAGAACAACCCCGTGTTGCCAAGATCTCTCCCTGTGTCCTGCCAGCCAAACCAGTGGCTTGTACTCTTTCCAGCAGAGGGGAGAGCTCAGAAAGCTTTGCCTTGCTTTGTGCAGCCAGCAGCACAAACCAAAGCCCTGCTGGAATGCCACTGGGAGTTCTGGCATTCAGTGGCAGGAACCTGTGGGGTCACAGTTCTTCTCAGTGATGTGGTGATTCCTGGACTTCACTTTTGTTTTCTGCCCAGCACCAGGGAGCTGCGGGGGAGTGTCTGTAGCATGGGGTGAGCTGTAGTGGGTCACATGGAACTGGCCAGGATCCAGCTGGGGTGCAGGTCTCTCCAGCCGAACAGAATCAGGGAATGGCTGGGGTTGGAAGGGACCTTTAAGGATCATCCCATTCTACCCCCTGCCATGGCAGGAACACCTTCCACTATCCCAGGCTGCTCCAAGCCCCATCCAGCCTGGCCTTGGACATTCCCAGGGATCCAGGGGCAGCCACAGCTGCTCTGAGCACCCTGTGCCAGGGCCTCACCATCCTCACAGAGAATTTCTTCCCAATATCCCATCTAAGCCTCCTCGCTGTAAGTTTGAAGCTACCCCCCTTGCCCTGTCACTCCATGCCCTTGTAAATAGTAGCTCCCAGTTAACTTTAACTTCCTCCATTTCTGAATGCTCTGCCAGGTCTCTCCTGCTGTTCCAGGAGATCTGTTGTGCCTCTGCCATCTCAGCCAGCACCTCTCCCTGAATCCTGGAATTTGGCAGAAGATAACCGAGCTTTCCCAGGAGGTGCCTGTGCAGGGTTTGGGTTCACACCACTCCACTAATGCTGTTCCTTCTCTCTCCCTTGCCAGGTCCCCAGCCATTGATCTCCAACACAGAGGGAGATCTCCTCTTCCTGCTGGACAGCTCTGCCAGCGTCTCCCACTATGAGTTCTCCAAGGTCAAGGAATTCATGTGGGATCTTTTGCACCCTTTCACCTTTGGCCCCAGGGACATCCAGGCCAGCATCATCCACATCAGCACCACGCCCACCATGGAGTTCCCGTTTGACCAGTACCTGTCCAGTGGCACCTTGAGAAAAGCCATCAGGGACACACGGCAGCTCATGGGTGACACCAACACGGGCAAAGCGCTGTCCTACGCCAAGGAGAAGCTCTTCAGTGGGGAAGCTGGGGCCCGGCCAGACGCACCCAAGGTGCTGGTGTGGGTGACAGATGGCTTCTCCACGGATGACATCTCTGAGCCCATGCAGCTGCTGAAGGACATGGGGGTGACCGTGTTCATCGTCAGCACCGGCCGGAGCAACTTCCTGGAGCTGTCAGCTGCTGCCAGCCAGCCCTTGGACAAACACCTGCACTTTGTGGATGTGGATGACCTGCCCATCATCACCAAGGAGCTCAGGGATGGGATTCTAGGTAGGCTGGCATTGGAGGGGGGCATTGGAACTTGGTGGCAGGGGTGAGGATGGGTTAGTGTTTGGCTCTGTGGGGTGGACAGTGGGAGAATTCCCCAAATCTCATGGTCATCCTGACCCAAAAGTGCTGCTCTGGCAAACTGCAGGGGTTTGCCCACCATGGTACAGGTCCAAGAATAAACCAAGGCTTCCAGGAGGTCTGGGACAAATATATTCCCCTTGGAATATTTGACTGAGTGGGACAAATTCCCTTCGGTGAGATGAACTTGTGTTTGTGAAGAGTTCGGCTGGGAATGAGGAACTCAGGCAGCAAAATATCTGAATCCCTTAAAACTCCACAAGTCTTTGAAGTGAGTCATGCAGCTCAGGCATCTGCACAACCCAGGCAGAGCACAAAAATGCCCCCACCTGCACAGGCGGTTAACCAAAGGTTTCCCAAACAGCAATGATTTCACCTCAGCAAGAGGCTGCTGATTGTGGACACAAAGTGCCTGAGCCCCTTGAGTTGATTTTCATGCTCAGGGTGATTTTTCTTTTTTTTCCCCTCAAACATTGTCTGTCTCTGCGCCAGCTGATGGAGGAACATAAATGTGTTGAACACGTCCAAAATGGGATGCGTGTCCCCGGCAAGGATTTGGTCCTGTCAGCTTCTTCCAACTCTTTTAGGATAGATGTGACTCCCTAAATTCACCATCGAGGGCTGAGACCTCCATCTCCTGCAGTTGTTCTCTTACAAAATACAATTAAGGACGGTGCCTGCTGTCAGCATTGAGACTATAGGAAAGGAATGTTTCTGTTCCATAAATCCCCTGTCCTAGCATGTTCCACATCTGCCAGATCCATGGCCTGACTTGGCCAGCACAACCTTTGAAAGAACAGCCCAGCCCTGCCTCTGCTCAGCAGCCCAAGCGCTACCTCTCTGTTCCTTGCAGGGTTGTAGTGGCTGCTAGGAGAGGGAACACACAGCAGATTGGAGTTTTCATCACTCCAGGTTTTTAGACCATCCAGGAAAGGCTCTGAGGAGATCAAATTCCATGATCTGGGCCTCAGGAGAGGCTTTGGAAGGCAAGGGCACTGCCATCTGTCCCTGGGGATTGTCTCAGCCTCCCAGATGCCTCTGGATTTGTTTGGAATGCTGAGGGAGTTACTGTGACTTTGCAGACTTTTCATACATTTTTCTGGAGGTTCTCTCTCCATTGGAAATCCTGATTTCATTCTTATTTGACTTGTGCTCTGTGAGGTGGGTTGGAGCTGCCCCTTTCCACTGAATCCTCTGTGTGTAGGAATTTCTTCATGTTTCAAATCACAACCATTAAAAAAACCACTCCCAGGGCCTGTGTTCTCCCCCAAACACCCACTTCTCCCCCAAGTGAGAATTGGGCAGCACCAACAGCCCTCCTCCTGTCCCAGCCACCCCACAGGCCTCCAGGTATTTTGTTTCCGTGCTTATTCATTTCCTGGTGCATCCCAAATCCAGGTTATACAAAATAGCATCCCAAGAATTAGAAATTTGCAGCACAGGAGATCATAAAATCTGCAGAGATCACAGCTGCTGTGCCTGAGGGCAGCATTCTGTGCAACCAGCAGGCCTAAAACCTGATGGGCTGGGATTCTAATGGAAGGTGAGATTCCCACATGAATCCAGGGGTTGCAAAGTGCCAGACATTGGTCACATCACCTGATTTCACCTTAATAAAGCTACTTAAGTCCACTGTTCCCTGCCTGGAGGAGGCAGCCCTCAGACACCACCCCTCCTGGGATAGCAGGGACAGACAGGATCTTGGCAGGCAGGAATTAGGCCTTTCCAACTCTGGAATGGCCCAGACTGGTTTAATTATCACTGCTCTCTTATCTACATCTCCTGCTACTGTTAAAAAACAGTGGAGGCTTTTGTAGAGGCACAAACAAGCTTTGTCAAGAGTTGCTCTCCTCCTTCCATCTCCTTTCCAGGAATGGGGTGTTTCATGCCTGCTCCATAGATATTCCAACACAGGGGTTCCTGCCAAGCTGCTGCTGCTGTCTCAGGTGGGCTGAGAAGCCTCAATCTCCACAGGAAGAGACTCTTGAGATGTGGTGGACCTGAAATAGCTCCAGTGTTGCTGCTGCTCTGTGGAGGGGTGCAGGACAGGGACTGTGGATGACTGGGTGTGCCCACTGCCATTTTTTCCTTGGCACATGGAAGAATTCTGCAGAATGCAGCTCCCAGTCAGCCTGGCCATGGCACAGCTGGCTCCTGGCAGGCACCTCCGCCCTTCCCAGCAGGAAGGGAAGGTTCTCAGGCTGTGGAGAAGCTCAGGCTCCCACAGTTGCATCTTGAATGTGCCCAAACTGTGGCATTTGGTGCTCTCCTTCTGGGGAAGGACTCCCCCAGCGTTATGAAATTAAGATATTCCTCCAAGGAGACATCAGATCCTGTGCCTGCAGCCACTTGCTCTGTGCTCAGCCCAGCTGAGCTGAGGCTGCAGACTTGTTCCAGCCTTTGGCACCACCTCCTGAGCCAAGCTTTGCAGAAGCCTGCACTCCCCAAGTATCACCACGTCCCACGTGTGCTCAGGGCAATGCATTTCTTATCCAAAATGAGGTCCTGGGTAACTCCTGCTACAGCGAAGGCTTTGAGCCTGGAGTGCTCTGATTGACTCACCTGGCACTGAGTCCAAGCAGGTGAGCACAGGGAGTGATCTCAGACCCTGAATGCCCATCCTGGAGATGGAGAAGTGTTGTCCCCCCTCCCAAAATCAGAACCTTTCCCCACCTACATCAGAGCAGGACACAGAAGTGATTTGTCCTAAATCCCAGCTGCAGCTTCTAAGAGGGGTGACCACAGACACAGATTAGGACAGGTTCTCCTGCCTGGCTGCCTTTCTTACCCTCATCATGAAACCAGCAGCATTCCTGCATGTCTGATCCTGATCTCTCCAGAGCTCACGGGGTGCCAACAAACTCGTGGCTGCAGAGTGGTGTTTGGAGTCACCAAGAGGCAGGAGCTGGAGGGCAAGTGTCACCACCTGTCTGTTACTAGGCAGGCACTGGCTGCATCTGGTACAGGATATTAACTTGCTGCTTCCCTCTGGGAACAGAGGGGCTGGGAAACACATTGTGGGCATTTATTTTCTCTGGTTTATTGCCCTCTTCATATGCTGAAGGCTTCTGGGGTCTGGCAACACGGGCAGAGCTGTTTGCTCTGGGCTTCCTGCTCCCTGTCCTTTCATCTTCCCCTTTTATTCACAGTGTCCCTGCCTCCAAGCTCACTTATTTCCATTTACTGAGCTTTTGGCAGGATTTTTGGCAGGACTGAGGCCTTTCCTGTGCTCCCTGTTCCTTCGTGCCTTGGCCCCTGGTGTTTGTGAGGCTCACAGAAGGGTGCAGTGCCCTAGCACTCCTAATACTGCCTCCCACCCTCCGAGTGGGTGGAGTGCGGCTGGCTGGGCTGGAATGGGACGGGAGCAGGCAGGGCACGGAGCAGGGGAATGTTCCTGCCTGCCTGGGAGAGCCAGGGAACAGCTCAGAGGAAAAACTGAGATTGTTTTATTTGGTACGGGGAAGTTGGCAGGGCCTTGGAGTGCCTTGGAGGCGGGGAGCTGATCCTCTCCCAGCTAAAAGACAAGTCTGGGAGTGCAAAGCAGCCCCATCTTGCAGGTTTGGGAGGAATTTTGTGACTCCCTTTACCTCTGTGAAATGGGAAACCAGTGAGAACTACCTAGAGAGCTCTGTGAGTGTTTGAGCATGAACTGGAAGGTTCTTTTATAAAGATTTGGAACGTCAAGGCTCAGGGTGCTCTTAAAAATCCTTTAAAAACAGAAGAGAAGCTCCATGTCTTCCTATGTCACTTCCCAAGATCTAGAAACAAAGTCCTGTGTGTTTCTGCCCCTCTGGAAGACCAGAAAGCAGTGGAATTCTGCCCAAAACAGGCTCGGAAGGCCACACATGTCAGAAGGGTCAAGTAGCAGAGGAAGCTGGGGGAGCTGCTCAACGTCACAAGAGGTACTTCTGCCTGGCATTTGTGGTCTGGAACTCAAAGGTAGCACGAGCCTCAAAGAGAAGCCTTTGTGCAGGGGCAGGGAGAGGTGAGGTGGCACAAGAGGGCTCTGAGTGTTGAATGTCACTGAACAAGGGAGCTCTGTGAAGCCCTGTGGGGCATGACCTAAGCTGGGGTGAGTCCAGCTGGCTCAGCAGTGCTGGGCAGTCCCCAGTTACTGCCCTTTCTTCCTGGCCACTGGGCACAGCAGAGAGCAGGGAGAAATGGAGTTCTTCATACTCTGGGCAATTTCTGTACAGGAATTGAGTGGTTTGGTTTCACTGGTTGGTCACTTCCACAGGGAGACACATCTGTATCAGGTATCAGTGGTGCTTGCCAGATGCATCTCCCATCCCGGAGGGCTGGGACTGCAGGTGCTCCATGCTCTGGGGGTTGATGCCAGCAGTGATTTCTGGCCACTGTCCCTCTTCCAGATGCCATCCAAGCCAACCGGCTCCATGCCACAGACGTCACCTCGAGCAGTTTCCGCCTGATGTGGCCCAAGTTCCTCTCCCAGGAAACTGGCTACTACAGCCTGGAATATGCCCCAGCAGCTGATCCAGCAAGGAAGAGGACACAACAGGTGTCTGGGGCTCACACCAGCCTTGTGCTCAGCAACCTTGTACCAGAAACCACGTATGAGGTGGCTCTGGTTCCTGAATCCAACATGCACTACTTCCCCCTGCAGACTACAAGGGTCACGACACTGGCAGGTAAAATGGACACGGTCCCTCTTGGGGGACAAGGAGATGTCTCCTACCTGATGCTGGAGGTAGAGATAGAGGATGCTGGAATGACCTAAGGGAAATCTCTGTTTGAGAGGGAAGGAGAGGAGCAGGAAGCAGCCTCTCTGTGCAGAAAATAACTCAGATTTATGCTGGGGAGCAGCCTGCAAAAAGGTGGCAAACTGAAAACCAGCAGGGTTTCTGGCAGGGGCGGCAAAGTCTAGGTGGACTTGTACACAATATTAATTTTCTGCATGCAGGAACAGTTCTGGCTGAGTTGCTCTGCCCAGGTAAACCCTTTTCTTGGGCTGATCTGTGTGATGAGTATCAAGATCTGCTTGCTGGGTTGATTTTAATTCCACACCCTTGAAGCCCAATATGGTGTAGATTAATAATGCTCATTAAATCCTCATTCACATCTCTTTCCATTGCTTCCAGAGGAAATCAGCCCAGTTCAGGTTCTCATCTCGGAGTCTGGGCCTTACAGCTTCCACGTGAGCTGGGCTCCTGTGCTGGACAGCGTGGCCAGCTACCAGCTCCTGTATGGGCCACTCCCAGGGAACTCAGTGAAGGTGCTGGAGGTGGATGGGAAGCACAACAGCACTGTGGTGGAGCACCTGGCACCCAACACCACCTACCTGGTGACAGTGACTGCCATCTATAGATCTGGGAAGAAGAAATCCCTGTCAGCCAAGGCCTGCACCCAGGAAGGTAAGCGAGGGGAAGTGGCAGCACAAGGAGTCCCTTGAGTGTCCCTAGAGGGTCACCTGCCTCGAGGTGAATCCAGAGGGCTCTGAATCCAGTCCCTGGGGTGGGATACAGGGAAAAGCTGCATGAGCAGCTCTGGGTGTGCCATTAGGACACAGCAGATGTGTAAGGGCTGAAAGAGAATCACTCACACAGTGAGAGCTGTTCATGGGGTATGGCCAAGCTGCTGGTGCACCTGCAGATCCAAGAATCTCACTGAAGAAGAAAAGTGCCTTTTCTGACTCCTCTGTGCCTGTTCCTTGGGGTGATTTGGCATCAGAGGGGTAGAAATTGATGAAATTAAGAAGTTAATGAGCAAAAACTTGTGCTCTGAAGAAATACCTGTGAAGATATTGCAGGAGGCAAAGTCTGGCCCTTATCAGGACTCAGGAGTGAAGAGCTCAGGGGATGACAGAGCTGAGGGTGTGGGAGGTGACTGCCAGTGTGTGACAGCATGAAAGAAAGACTTTTATGCTGGTACCGGGACAAAGTTAAGGAGTAATTAAACTGAGCTCCTTCAGTGGGGAGATGCAGAGTGATTGTATCTCCCCACCAAAGGCCAGGCTGGCCAGCAGCATTCCCCTGGGGATCAGGGAATGGTAGGACTCACTTTGGAACAATGTCCTGCAGTAACATGGATCCTCTCTCCGCAGAGGGCTCCAAGGTGAAGCACCTCCGCTTCCAGGACATGGGTCCCAACACCCTGAAAGTCTCCTGGGACTCTGCAGCCGGGCCGGTGCTGGGTTACCGGGTGCGCTGCCGGCGGCACAGCGGCCCCTCCTCGGTGCTCAGCGTGTCCCCGCAGGTGCACAGTGTGCTGCTCAGTGACCTGCCCTCGGGCACCAGCGGCAAGGTGTGTGTCCAGCCCGTGTACAGGAACCAACCCGGCCAGAGGCTCTGCCGCAGTGTGCACAGGCAGCCAGGTGAGCTGCAGACATCCTTAGCCAGGTGTTGCGAGCGTTCATAGAGGAGCCCCGAAGGGCTGGGATATCCTGTGCTCATCACTGGTCTTGCTTCACCACAGGGATTGACCAAAGTTGGGCTCTTTTCCCCGTTTTTAGGAGTAAGACTCCTCCTAGTGGAGTTTATTGCAGGCAGGAGAAAAAAAAACGTGCAGTGGAGACGGTCTTGGAGCTACTTCGGGATAACAAACAGCTGAAACCTGGCATGGGCATTGGAAGTGCTGTTTTAAAGTCATTTAAAGCCTTGGTTGCCCTTCATTTTCCAGCGTGGCAGGGGACAGGTAACAATTAAAGCCAGTTGTAAAGACACAACACTTCTTTCTTCCTTCTGCTTCCCAGAAACCACTTTCTGTGGCATTAAAGGAGCCCTGATAGGATGGAGTAAAACTAAACAGAAGCTACTAAACAGAAACCCCTTTTTCCCAGCAAGGGACTGGAGTGAGAGTAAAAATGTCCCCAGCGGTGAGATCTCTGGCTCAGATGTGGAGAATGGCTGGCTAAAGCTGACATTTCTATTCCTTGTGTTCTTCCAGCTACAGAGGCCCAAGGATACAGGCACAGACAGAAAGCGTGAAAGACTGGAGCGAGCTGATGCCCAGCAGAGTAAGGGATCTTGCTTGGACAAGGACTTGGACAAAAAGGAGGAGCCAGGGGAGGAAAACACCTCATCTCCCAGCCTGTGCTGTCTCTTGAGGGGTCCTGCTTGTCCAGCCCAAAGCCTGTCCCCAGCCAAGTTCTCCCAGAGCTTAAAGGCTTGGCCTGGCTGGATGGAACAACCAATCTGATAAAAGATGCCAAATCTGTACCCATTTCATATAAACACGCCTGACAAAGAACAAACAGAAGGCAAAGTGGTGGATCCTCACTATTGCTTGCTTGCTCCCTGTTCTCTGTTTATTAAAGGTCGATCCAGATTTACTTTTGCAGCTTCTGAGCACATTCAGGACTTGACTGTTCAGTGCCCTGGCCATTCATACAGGGCGCTCAGAGAAAGATTCCACGCAGCCAAATCCATTCCTGCTGCCAAAAGCCAGGGAAGCTGGAGTGTGAGAGAGCAGAAAACCCCAAATCCTGGGAATGTGCTTCCCCAGCAGGTCCCTCCAGGGGTTCCAGCCCTCAGCTGAGCTCAAGGAGCAGCTGAGAGTCCAGAAAAGCCAGACAAGACCATCTAAAGCACTTCTTATAGTTTCTGTGGTCCTTCCTGGATCATTACCACTGCATTGCTCTGGCATTCCTGCAGCCCCTTTTCACCAAATGGGAGTCCTGCTGTCCTCATGGAGATTAATTAGTCTGTTCTGTGACTAATTACAGGCAATAAGTCTCCAGCACTATCATTCCTCTGCACTCTGAAAACACAGCACATCTCTGGTGTCTTGTCTTGGGCTTCTACCCAGTGCTAAGCTTCAGCTACACTTAAAAGTCAGGGGTTTTAAAGGAGAAGAGTAATCTGATTTTTTCCCTTTGGTCCCCAGGCTTGAACTCGCTGTTGCTAATCTACTCTGGAAAGGGGAGCTGGGAAAAAAAAAAAAAAATGAAAAAGACAAATTATAAATACCTAGTGACCAAGCAAATGGTTTCAAAGTTCAGGGCTTAGGGCTGTAAAGAAATGTAGATACTTCTCTGCTAAACCCCAGCATCAGTGGGAACACCCTCCCTCAGTAACTCCTGCTCTATTTTAAATTTACTGCTTATTTGTCCTACATGTGGAACTTGTTTGTTGGAAAGCCCCATGCAATCTCACAAACCCTTCTTAAAACAGCTCCTTTCAGAGCTAAGAGGAACTTTTATCCCTGACTTTGTCTCCTGAGAGCTGAATCCTTCGTCTCCCCATTTCTGGAGCATTTTCCTTGGGCTACCTTGTTCAGGAGAGAGGGGTAGAAGGCAGGTGAGTCATTCATTAACTCTATAAAGAGATTTTCACATGATTTGTGTCCTTGTTTGGAATGTGCATTTGTGACTGATTAATCTCAGTGTTGAAGGAATGACAAAGGCCCTGGAACTGCTCATGAATAAGATGATTTTGTTTGTTCTTGCTGTAGGACACAAATTAAGTTTGCACAACTGCCTGCATAGTTAATTAATACATTAACGTGTCATCCCCCCAGTTGTAACACCCTTTTGAAGACAGTTAAATAAAAGTACAAGAGCTACTGAATGACTCCATTGTGCTTGATGGCAAATCTATGAATTGTGGGTTTTGTTCCAGGGGTGGAAAAGCTGGCATTCATAGAATGATAAAAGTTGGGAAAAGCTGCTGAGATGACCATGTTAAATCATCATAATTTTAAATGGCTGGGAAGTGTGTGTTCTACCCGTGCCTGTATAGCCTGGCTTACAGGCTTTATCCCTATCCCTCTAAAACTTTATCCCTATCCCTCTAAAAATGTGTTAGAAATGTAAAAATAGAAATGTGTTTGTATTGATAAAGCCTCAGTTCCAGTAAGAATTATTTTACAAGGAGAAATCTTGGTATAACTGGTAAATACTTGTGAACAACACGCTCAGGCACAGGGTGGGATTGTTGGGGTGTCCTGTGAGGGGCCAGGAGTTGGACTCTGATCCTTGGTGATCCCTTCCAGCTCAAGATATTCCATGTTTCCATGATTCTAAGCACGCATTTGGGAAGAAACATGAACATTTAGTGAAAAAAAAATATCTGAGAACGTGTCCCCAGCCTGTTGCTGGGCATGGTCCAGGTGTGTTCTGCATTTTACACTGTTTCAGGCTGCAGAATTCCACGTGTTTCTGACTACCACAGCCCTTTCCTTCTCTAAAGCCTTTCCTATCATCTTTCCTACTCCAAGCAGTCGGACAAGGAAACTGTTTTCATGGGAATTCCTGCTCTTTATCTCAGATAACCACAGGGATGGGTTTTCCTGTGCTCCCAGTCTCTGGAGGCTTCTGTTTCATCTTTTCCATTCCAAGGATTTGGATTAGGAGGTCATTTCCATGGAATATCCTACTCTTTGTCCCAGATAACCACAGCGATGGTTTTCTCTGTGCTCCTCTTTTCCACTTTTCCATCATCTTTCCCATTCCATGGGAAATGTTGGATCAGGAGCCGATTTTCAAAGGAAATCCCAGATAACCACAGATAAGGGTTTCCCTGTGCTCCCCTTCTCTGGAAGCTTCTGTGTCATCCTTCTCATTCCAAAACGTCGGATTAGGAGCCGATTCCCAGGGAAATCCCGCTCTTTATCCCAGATAATCACAGCGATAGGTTTCTCCGCGCTCCTTTTCTGCTTTCCCACCCTCTCTGCCATTCCAAGGAGGCGATTTCGGGAGAAATCCGGAAATCTGGAAATAACGCCAGGCCCGAGCCGATTTCCAGGGAACTCCGGGATAACCCCAAAGCCGTGCCCGCCTACGCGGCCCTTAGCAACGCACTGCACTCCCATTGCTACGCAGAAGCGCCGCCCACCTCGTTTGTACCTCCCGGCGCTCCGTCCCCCACACGGCGGTCCCGCCCCTCCCGCCTACTTCAACCAATCAAAGCCCTCACGCGGAGTCTCTCCGCCAATCAGAGTGTGGTACGGCGCCCACGCGAGCCAATGGGAGGCCCGCCCGCCCTCCGGCGCATGCGCGCGGGTCGCGGCGCGTTCCCCCGCGTGCAGCCGCCGCCGCCCTCATGTCGTGGCTGTTCGGGCTCAACCGCGGGACCGCCCCGGGCGGCGGTGGGGACGCGGCACCCCCGGGCACCGGGACAGGCGCGGGAAGCGGGGCCGGTCTCTCCCTGCCGCCCGTCCCCGGTGGTGGCGGCGGCGCCGGGGACCGTCAGGCGCCCAAGGACAAATGGAGCAACTTCGACCCCACGGGCCTGGAGCGCGCTGCCAAGGCGGCGCGAGAGCTGGACGCGTCCCGTGCGTGAGGGGACGGGGCGAGAGGGTGGGAGAGCTCGTCAGGGTGCGGTAATGTGTGGAAAGGGGGTGTCAGAGCGGGCAGCGGGATCTGCTCTGTGGGGCCCGGCGATGGGACGCGAGGAAAGGGCAGGAATCGGTGCACAGGAAATTCCACCTGGACGTGAGGAATTGTCTGTTCCACTCTGGAACAGAGGCCAGAGAGGGTGTGCAGTGGCCTTCACTGGCGATATTTCAGGTGTGTCTGGACACAGTTCTCTGCGCGGTGCTCTGGGATGACCCTGCTGGAGCCTCTCGGGGTCTTTCCAGCCTCACCCATCCTCCCATTCCTCATGTCCTGTCGGGTCCCACCTGCCCAGGGCCGCCTCTGGCTCCTGCCCTGCTCTCCTGGGGCCCCGGGATCAGCATTATCAGTCAGTGAGCTCTGAGTGTGTCCTACAGGGTTTGTGAGGGGAGAAAGAGCATCTTCATAAAATCACAGATTCCCAGAATGGTTTGGGTTGGAAAAAACCTTAAATCCCATCTCATTCCACCCTCTGCCAAGGACAGGGATCTTCCACTGTCCCAGATTGCTCCAGCCCCATCCAGCCTGGCCTTGGTTGGATCTTTTCCACAGGTGTGCTGAGAAGTTTCACAATAATTTATTCCCTGAAAGATTGAATGTGCGTTTGCAGAGCTGTGCTCCAGGCAGGCACAGCTGGAGCAGGATGGATCAAACAGTCTAAGCATCTTCTTTGCTGAGAAGGCACCTCTCACTGTCCATAATCTCTTCCCACCCTCCAGGCCATGCAAAAGATGCTCTGAGCCTTGCTCAGATGCAGGAGCAGACCTTGCAGCTGGAACAGCAAACCAAACTGAAGGTGTGTTGGAATTCCTCAGACAGCTGCCAGGTTTGGGAGGGTTAAAAAATAAAATCTTTATTCTGCAGGGAATGATGAATTTTCCTTTCTATTCAGCTTCAGGAAATCATAGCTATTTGCCTTTAGGAAAAAAAGTAATTCTGGCAGGTCAAGTCCCAGTTAATTTGGCCTATTCTGACACATTTTTTTTGTGGTTTTGATTAAACTTGCATGTCCTGAGTTGTTTTGTAACTCCTGGAATTTTGTAACTCCTGCTGTTTTTGGGGAATGACAAGGGGTTTCTGTGGGAACTGTAAAGTAGTTGGGTGAAGGGCAGACTTCTGTTTCTCCTTTGAATGAATTTAGGGATTGTTTGGGTGGTGGTTGGTCTCCTGGATTTTTATTTTTTTAAATTGTGTTTAATCCTGAAATGGTTAATTATGATACTTCTTACAATAATTTTATTATCATATTTAAGTTTCTTGTGTTAATGGTCATCTTTTAAGGGTACTGCTCTGATTGCAGAGGGGTTTCTTGGAATATAATTGTCAGTAGAATTTCTCTCCAGGATGGTCTGTTAATGGGAATTACATACTCTGACTGTTCCCCCAGGAGTACGAAGCTGCCATAGAACAGCTGAAGAATGAGCAGATCCGGGTACAAGCAGAAGAGAGAAGGAAAACACTCAATGAAGAAACCAAACAGCATCAAGCAGTAAGGGAATGAGGGGGAAGCCAAGTGAGGGGAGACCTTGTTTGTATCTTCTCTTATAGAAAAGGCAATAATTATCTTTTTCATTATTCCTTTAATTAATTAGCCCTTTTTGGGGAGAGGGGGTTGTGGGCAGCCAGAGGACTGGGGTGTTCACAGACTGAACCCCTGTTCTGTCCTGGATTTGTAATGTTGAGCTGGATTTTTAGTCTTCTTGGACTTTTGTTCCCAAGTTCTTGAACGTCCAGAGGAACTGGTGGTAGCAGTTGTGCTCATTCTGTGCTTTTTGGGATTTTCCTAAAGGGCTTTCCAGGGAAGTGTTGAGTAATACTGGTTTATCAACTGTAAGCGTTAGCCTGGACAGTGAAATGGCTCTGAAGTTATTTGGATTTCAGTCTTAAGTAGCTTGAAACCCTGTTTCTTATGAAGTAAACAGGAAAAAATATCTTAAGAGGAGAAGTGATGCAAATCTTGAGTTGTTGTGAGCAGTGTCCGTGCTTCCTGGTTGTTTGAGCTTGAGTCACTGACATGGCAATAATCCTGAAACAAGGAAAATAAAGGCTGGCCTTTATGTTTAAAGCTAAATTATGGTGATTTCTTACTCTGAGAGCACAGGAGATGAGGGAATTGGTTAATTCTAATGGATTATACAGCTTGGGAAGTTTGCTAGAGCTGTTTATTTGGCACATGGTGCTTTTCCTCTTGCAGAGTTTGGACTTTGAGCAGGGCTCAAAAGGGCCCAGGAAGCAGCTGCACATTCAGCTGCTCTCAGGATTCTTCACCTCCTGCTGTTCACAGGGCATCATTTGAAGTCATAGCAAGCTCACGGGTTATTTGAAATCACAGCAAACTCAATCTTGGTTTATTCCAGGATGTTGTACTGTTGATGAGGAGGTAATTCCCAAGGTGTTCTGCTGTCCCTGTGTTTGGAGAGAATGATGTCACCCCCTGATACAGAGTTCTCCCTCCTGGTGGATGTGGATCCTCAGCCCACTTTCAATTCAGTGAAGATTACTTGGGTTTATTTGGAGTTACAGTGGAAAAATGATAAAAGGAATTAATGAGGAACAAGTAAATATCAAAACCATCCTGACAGTTCTATTGCTTGCAATAGACTGGTGACTACCAGTCCAGATAATGTGGTTTAGAACATGAAAACTTCGTTTTTCCCAGTGAAGTCTCCTTTTCTGGGCCAAGAAACACTTGGTCTTTATTTTGACGTCTGTGGTCCCTTAAAATGAAGTCAGACTGTGGAGATTTCTCAGTACAGAGGAGTTTTTGGTGCTGAGGATATTTTACCCTGTTCACATTCAAATCCAGGATAATTTCTTATTTGTGTGGATTTTCCAATTTAGTTTGGCTTTTTCCCTTCTGAACCTCATTTCTCTGAGGACCAGGCAGTTTTTTTAACTGCCTAATCTGTGTATTCTGAGTTCTGTTTTGTTTTTTGAAGAGAGCCCAGTACCAGGACAAACTGGCACGGCAGCGCTACGATGAGCAAATGCGACAGCAGGTAAGGTGGATTCCTGCTCTGATTCAGCTGGGAATAGGCTGGGAGCCTCCATACATCCAGGGGATGCTCTGGAGCTGTGCCCTGTCCTGCTGGGCACTGTTTATCTATGTTATCTGCTCAGCATCAGCAGTGCTGGCCTGGCACATCAAGGGTTAGGCATTAGGAAGAAGCAGCAGCTTGGAATTAGGAGGATAAATCTGGGAGATGGGGAGAAGAAAACACTCTTCAACCT